TTGATGTAATCTGAATTCAGCTCTACAAAAAGAATAAAAAATTTGAATTTTGTTATAGGTGTAACACATGGATTATAAAGTAAACTGAGACTTACCTTTCATTATTATTTATTATTTTCTTAACTAAAGCTTCACCAAACATATGATAAAAAGTCAATATTTGTTTTTTTTTTAATTGTTTATCTGCACTTACCTTCAATACTTATCTGCAATAACCATATAGCAGATTTATTAACAAAACAATTTGAAATAAACTCCAGTAATAACAACTCTTCTAAAGATTTTATACTGAGGTGATTTAGAAAAATCAATTATTTTTGTTTTACTTTACAATAAATAAATAATAAATATAATAAATAAATTTGAGAAGCGGTCACAAAAACCCACATGCTCATGTGAATACAATGTTATATAGTGTGCAATTAAATGGTTACATTACATTAGTTACATATTAAGCACTAACTAAATAAATATACAAAAACATAGGTAATAGCGAGTGTGTAGTACAAATTAAATGTTCCACTATGAAGCAAATGGTCATCCAGTTTATTTTTAAAAATATTGACAGATGGAGCATCTATGATCCCAGCCGGAAGGCTATTTCATATCGAGAACACTCGATTACAAAGAAAAATTTGTCTAGTTGTTGTTAAAAAAGTTTCCATTTTAAACTTAAGTTTGTGGCCACGAAGTCGATTGTCATTGTCTAGTATAAACATATCCCCAAATTTCTAAAGTTGTATCTTTCTATCCGAAACGTAATAATTAAATCGCCTGAAAGTCGACGTTGTTCGAATGTAGTGACATTGGCCATATACGCTGGTCTTGAGCGACCAAAAGACATCCTAGTGCACTGTCGCTGTACGTTTTCGAGAATATTACGATCGCACACTAATACTGGATACCAAACGGTTCCACAATATTCCAGAACTAAACGAATGTACAGTTTATACAGATGAACTGAGCTCATAAATGATACTTTCGCAAACATTTTATTTATTAGATAAAATTTACTGTTAGCTTTTTTAGAAATATGTAAAATATGTTTCGACCAACTTAGATTGTTATTAATTATAACACCTAGACCACTATGTAATTTCACTGTTTTCAATACGCGCCCATTAATAGATTAAGGTGAATAAGTATTATTTTTACTTATGTGAAAAACTACACATTTGTCCACTAAGAGGCAGCATACAAGTAGATCACCATTTCGATATGCAATCAAGGTTATTTTGTAGTAACTGGAAAGTCACGGAGGGATCGGAAAATAGCTTCGTGTCATCTGCATAGAAAGCTTAGTTGCATTTATTGCGAAATCGTAGATTACTTAAGTATGCTATGAATAAAAGTGGGCCGAAAACTGATCCTTGCGGTACCCACTTAAAACCATTCTCTCAACTGAGAAAAAGTCCCCAAACTCTAACACAAAACTTTCTATCTGTTAAATACGCGTCGATCCATTTCAGTAATTGAAAACGGATACCAAGGTGTTCCAATTTATGTAATAGTCTTCGCTTTGGAACTCGATCAAAAGCTTTAACAAAATCGAGGTAAATAATGACCATAATAAATAAGACCATGCTGCTGTTCTGGTATAACTTGTTTATTTTGCAGAAAATCAGAAATGGTTTCGACAATAATACATTCAATTATCTTAGATATTATAGGTGTTAAGCTGATAGTTTTTGTTCTCTTTTTTTCAACCGGTGTTGGAGATGCGGTTTTCTATATAAGAGGCAAAATATGAGTGAGTGATAAATGATAAGGGCATAATCACATATAGTGGGTAAGCTAGAGCATTAGCACATTTTTTTTTTAAATAAAGCAGATATTAAGTCGAGACCCGGGGACGAATAATTATTTAGGCATTGATGATGATGTTTGACTTTTTCAGAGGTAATGATTATATTTTCAAGGGAAGAAGAAACTCACGACGAAGTAATATTAGGCAACTGATAATTAGTGGGTTCGACAAAGAAAATATTAGAGAAAGTACTGGCTAGGACTTCGGCATTCTCGTGGTTATTTTGTGATATATTCCCATTATCATTTTCTAGTAAATGTATAGAAACTTTTTTTGTCAACGAAGATCTAAGATACTTGTACAATTTTTTTATAGTTACTACTAATGCTATACTCTCTTCGTAGGCAAGACGAAGCTTCATGCAGAGATTTCTTTAAATCTTTGGCAAAGTCTCGATGAATTAGTAAATCCTCTATGCGATTTGTACGTCTATATTTGTTCCACAACTTTCTTTTATACTTGATTAGATATATTAATTTCCCATTAATCCAAGGGTTTATGTTATATGTATATGGTTTTTTGAAGGTATTTTGTTTTGCAGAAATTAACAACGTGTAAGAACCAGAATACAACTGGATTTCTTATGTCGCCGAAAATATCATTCCAATCAATATCAGCCAGTTGGCCATTTGTCTTTATAGGAGTACAATACTATAAGTTAAACTGAATATGAAACGTTATGACTGCTTGATCTGAGTTACTTACTGGAGAGCTTATTAAGGGATGTGTTAATAAATGGGGATCATTAGAGAATACCAAGTCCAAAATAGATGGTAAATTATTGATTCTGAAACGAATCGGCTTCGTAATGAATTTATGTAAATTGTAATTTAATACAAAATCTGTAAATACATTTTTGGAAATTGTTAAGCCACTAGGTGGATCAGTTATAGGCCTCGAAATGTATCTAAAATTAAAGTCTCCAAGAACAATCAGATTCTCTAGCCTAGATAATTCATCAAGTGATGCGATAAGGCTCATCATCTGCTAATCTAGAATCACCAGGCCGATAAACACATACTAGGTGAAAGACAAAAAAGTTTTTATGGCATATTTTTAAGCCATGAAGTTCCATATTAGGGTCAGTAATATCAAGAGATGCAACAAAAAAAGTATTAGTAATTTCTGAAGACAAGTTACTCCTCCACATCGATGACGACGGAATAATTATCAATGTTATAAAGTGAGTAAAGATCATTTGGTGTGATTCATGTTTCAGTGAAGAATTATTTGAGGATTTAGGTTTTAAATGTTGCATAAAAATTCATTAAATTTGGAATTTAAAGTAGCTAGATTAGTATAGAAGCAGAAACTATTATAAAAACCTGAAATATCAGAATTAGTAACGAAAGATTACAATTTTCGGGACACCTTGTTTATATTTTATGGTTAAATTTTCCTCTCCATTCGATTTTCTTTTTTCCAATTCAACTCAAAGTTCTTTTAGGCATTCTATTTGATTCGGAGACTTATCGTCGATAATGGAAACGTTTTTTTAAAGAGACGGGAGCAGCAGAGCAGCAGTGGGATTCAATCGCCGTAAATAGATATAAACAAAATAAAAGACTGACCTTGCAATGACGAAATAAAAACACCACTGACAATAGAGAGTTTTTTTGTTTATGCTGATATAAAAATGATGGTTAAACTCAAACAATAAACAACTGTAATTTGCAATAATTCACTAAGAAACGTAAATGCTACCACACACACTACGAAGCTCGAAGATTAATAGATTTTAATTGCATTGAAAATAATCCTCTTAATATAACATTTACTATGAAAGAGCTATACATTGTTTCTTTGAGCAGTTTTGTTTTTTACGATTGGTAGGTTGCTAACCCCGCCAATCACACTCAATATTTTTTCCGGGCTTGGGACCGGCTGTAGTAACCGCAGAACTACTATAACTACAGATCATACACGCCGAATGACAACAAATAAAGTAGTAAAGAGACGGTTCCCCAAAAGGAAGACGATTAGTAGGAAGACCACAAAAACGATGGAACTTACTGGAGGCACATTGAAAAACCGACAGAGTCATGTCTATATAAAAAGAAGAAGACGAAGACTATGTAAGAGCTTAATCACTCTTTAAGTGCCAGCAAAAAATCGGTACCAGGACCAAACTATATTTTTTGTTAGTTTCTTACAAAATCTACCAGATAATGAAAAAAAATATCTGCCTCACCTATACAACGTAATTTGGACCAATAAGTACGGAGTTTCCCACGAAACGGACCCAGGTAATAACAATTTCATTACTAAAACCAAATAAATCAAGAACTGATTCTTAATCTTTTGAGCCTATTTCTCTTACCAAAACAATGTGCAAAATCTTGAAAAAAATGGTGAATTATAGACTAGGCTGTTTTTGGAAAATAATAAATTAATACGCATACGCATTGTCCATATGTGCGATAAAATCGCATTCCACTTTTCATCACGCTATGGCCGAACGTTTCAAAGAAGCATGTATAAATAAAAAAAGTACAAACCCTCCCATTTACAAGAGAATCAGAAAATACCTCTATCTCCATAATATTATTCAATACCCCAAAATTGTTTCATTTCACAAATACAGTCACACCTTTACTCTGACTTTCCTTTTGCAACATGTCATCTAAATCTTTCTAAATACAATATAAGCTTGAGATCCGTTATGCAAAATTATTCAATCATTTTATAACATACTAGCTTCTTTCCTAGATATAAGAAGTTAAAACTCAGAAAGTTGCATTACAGTTTAAATTATCTTCCACTTGCAGTATCAATGCATCAATTTTACAATTCCTCATTCATATACGTACTCAAAAAATTTCAAAATCTGTCATATTACAGACTCTATTACTGCATAACATACGATAGAACAAGAGTAATCTTATAAGCATTTTAATAAAAGAACAATTATTGCAATTACTTAACAACGTGAGGCAGAAAGAGCTGCTGCTGTTGTTTTTTTGCGTTACTGTTTGCCATAAAATATCACTGTACGATCAAGGTCAATGACTACATATTTAAATTGGTTCTTCATTGTGATAATTTTTTGTTTTACTGTTAGTCATGGACAATTATTAACACATCTTTTTTAATTGTAATGTGAGCTGATTTTTTGGTGTCAACTTCGATTTTATACTGTTGCTTTATTCTTTTTACCATATTTATATGTTCTTTAGCGAGAGAAATATATTTTATATTATATTATATTTATTATAAATTATTTTATATATCTATACATTCCTAACACTTTTATAGGTTTTTGAAGCATGGATTTCTGCCAATACTGATTGAATACATTTATCATAATTAATAGCTTTAACTTCGGGATTTTCTCCTTGAGTTTTGCCACATTTGTCTTGAAATTCTTTCCGACGATCATTGTCGTCAGTAATAGCTTCAATGTGTTGCTTGAACTTATCAGGAATAATGTCTCCATTCTGATCAAGGGTTTCCATTTTACGATGAACACAAAGGGCTTGTTTACCGTATCAGGGTTTATAATCCCAAGTTTAATGTTTGTGATTTCGTTTACAGTTGAACCTGATTCTTTTTGACATTCTCTGATCATTTCTTGTACTTTTTCATGTTCAATACGGGATGCAGTCTGTAAAAAAATATATGGTATATTAAAATTATATATGGTAAAGCTAAATTAAAATAAACTATACAAAAAGGTAATAATTAAGTATCTTTACCGTAGATATTGGGACAATATAAAAAGACAGATAAAGTAGAATAAAGTACGTAGCGAGTAGGAACTCCTTTTGGATAGTCCTATCAGGGAAAGTGAATCAATCTCTGCCTTCCACAGATCCCAAGTGTATCCTGACCAGGGAATCTATTACCTGCTAAGGGTCCCTTGTCCAGGGTCACGGATGAAGTCCACAACCTCATCCAGGGAGGAGAAGAAGGTGTTCACAACGGTCTGGAGGACGGAAGTGGCAGCCTTCTGGTTTTAGAGCATGTTTAAAATCGAAGGGTAGGTAAGACTCTCTAGCTATAGTGAAAGCAACTCGCATAGGAGAAGGATACTCTGATGTAAAATCCGTGGCCATTCAGTTGGGGGTGAGGCACCAGGCTAGCTCCTCGGTACTCATAAAACACGTACAATGTTAAAAAGCCTAACCAAAGCCTCGGAACAAATAATTGAAAACACAGTAGACCAAAACAAAAAAAAAAACATTAAAGAAAACGGTTAATTACTTTTTGTACATGGAATGTGCAAGGTATCTCCCGAAAAACACCAGAAATCATGTGAGAACTCAAAAATGCAGAGATAGATATCGCGGTACTTACAGAAACTAAAAAAAAAGGTATATCTTCTGACAAGGGGGTCACTATGACCTGTTCAATAGTGGAGTAACTAAAGACCAAAGAGCATAACAAGGTGTTGCTATTGTTATTCGCAAAACTTTAAGAAGACATATTACCTCTTGGGAAGCAATTAATCAGAGATTGTTAAAAATAACCATCACGATAAAAGGAAACAGAATAGCCATACTAGGTGTATATGGAATTAATGAGAATGCATTGGTCAACAGTAAAGATGCATTTTTTGAACAACTGAACGATTAAATTATAAAAGTAGGAACATGTAGGGAGATCATACTTCTAGGAGACTTCAACAGCAGAGTTGGATGGGAATTGAACAATAAAGTGGTATAAACACACGGTGAAAATACCAGAAATGATAATGGAACCAGATTAATAACAACATGCACACAAAATAACTTAAAAAAATATTAAATGGATTTTATTCACATCGCGATATACACAAATACACGTGGATACAACGGACCAGAAATCTGAAATCTATAATAGATTATAGCATTGTAAGACAGATAACTACAATTAAAATGCAAGATGTACGAGTAGCCAGAGGGCCATCATGTGGCACCGATCATCTCTGCTTAAAGTTAAAACGGTACACGATCCCAAACAGATACGAAAAAGAAAAAGAGCACATCGAGTCAAATCAGTTAATAAAACAAGTATGGTACAACCTAGACAGTTTAAACCATGTGTAAAGCTCCTGTATAGAAACAATTAGACCAAAAATTAGAAATGGGTAGTTTTGAAAATACCGAAGAACACTACGAATACATCGACTACGATTCATTTAGCAGCAGAAGAAGCACTGGGGAAATGTGACGAAAATCATAAAGGAATAAAACCGTACTGGTAGGATAAAGAAATGGAGAAGGAAATTAAAGATAAACGCCGGAAATACCAAACATCCTTAACAACAAAAACAGAAAACAATAAAACAATTTACAAAGAAGCACAAGCCAAAGTAAGAAAAACGATAACTCAAAAAAAGAACGAATCATGGGAATAGAACTGCCAAAAGATCAACACCCTCATAGGAGGTAAAAAAAGCAAAGAGAGTTGGAGATTGATTAAAAGTATGAGAAATAAAAGTAAAAAAAATAAAAAAAAGACGTTATATCACCAATAACAACAGAAAAATGGGAAGAATATTTAAAAAAATTACCAACAGAACAAAGACCAGAATTTACTAACATGGAAGACAACACGATAGGTATACGTATAAATTCATCGCCATTACAAATAAGTAAATCAGAGATGGAAGACATAACCAAATTCCTGAAAAATGGAAAATACTCTGGTCCTGGTGACATCCCTACAGAATTAGTGAAAGCCGGTACAGACAAACTCCAGGAATAGTTGGAAAAACTCTTTTAAGACTGCTTGAATAGGTTCTAAGTTCGAAAGGGCAGCAAGGATCAGTGTTATGAAGCAGTAAGTAGACCACTTGTACTCTATTGCACAAGTTATAAAAAAAGCATATGACAGTGTACCTCTAAGTAAACTATGGTCAACTCTATAGCAAACCAACATTAAACATGGTCTTATCAAAGCAGTCCAAAATCTGTATAATGGAACGACTGCAAAAATTAAAACTGGATCAAGGATATCTGAAGGATTTAAGGTCACGAAAGGACTAAAGCAGGGTTGTTGTATTTCGCCTACCCTTTTTAAAATTTATCTGGAACAAGCACTCAAGCTGTGGAAAAGAAAACGTAATGTCATGGGAATCCCTCTCAATGATGAGACTACACTGGACACCTTATTTTTCGCTGATGACCAAATACTGATTGCTCGGGATCATGACGACTTAAGTTACATGACTCGGAAGCTAATAAAACAGTATAACAAATGGGGTCTCGAAGTCAACATTAAGAAAACTGAAGCCATGTGTATTGGAGGGACAAAACAGTAAATTATATTAGACGGTTGGGTAGAAATTAGAAACTGTGGTGAATACAAGTACCTGGGTATGAAGATAACTCGAGATGGAACACTCGATGCTGCTATAAAAGACAGAAACATACATGGTAGAAAAGCCATTTCCACGATGAATGGCATTCTGTGGAATCAAACAATATCTAAAGCAAACAAACAACTCATATACAACACCATACTTAAAAGTGTAATCACATATGGCAGTGAAGTTTGGCCAATGAAAAAAAGAACAGAGAAACTATTACTAGCAACAGAAATGGGCTTCTGAAGAAGAGCAGCAGGCAAATTAAGAAGAGATCAGATACCAAATGAGAGAATACGAGAAATGATGGCAGTCAAGCATACATTAGTTGATGCCATAAAAACAAAACAGTAAATATGGTACGGTCATGTACAGAGAATGCCAGATGACAGAATTCCAAAACAGATTTTGACGTGGACACCACAAGGGAGAAGGAAAAGAGGAAGGCCGAGAAGAAGCTGAAGTTAGGGAATTGAAAAAGAACTAGAGGAAATAGGAATCCCTCCAGGCCTATGGTTTAATAGAGAAGAATGGCGGTTAGGAGTCAGAAGACGTGGGAAAATGCTGTAAACCGATAGAGTAGTAGTAGTAGTAGTAGTAGTAGTAGTAGTAGTAGTAGTAGTAGTAGTAGTAGTAGTAGTAGTAGTAGTAGTAGTAGTAGTAGTAGTAGTAGTAGTAGTAGTAGTAGTAGTAGTAGTAGTAGTAGTAGTAGTAGTAGTAGTAGTAGTAGTAGTAGTAGTAGTAGTAGTAGTAGTAGTAGTAGTAGTAGTAGTAGTAGTAGTAGTAGTAGTAGTAGTAGTAGTAGTAGTAGTAGTAGTAGTAGTACTAGTAGTAGTAGTAGTAAAGTAAAATAAAAATTTATGTGTGTATAAAACAGGAGAAATAATTTAAGAAGAACAAAAAATGATACCTTGCTTAAGCATTTTGAAAAGCAATTAATCGGTATGTTTGTTTATTGCTAAGAGACTGTTATACGAAATTCTCCTGCAGGATCAGAACATACAAGAACGACCTATAAAAATTTCCTGCAAAAAAAGTGGGTACAATAATGTTCAATTACTATGAGAACTAAGAAAAAAATATTGTAAATATTATTGGAACTCAGAACAGAGCAGAGACACAAAACTTTACTTGATTAAACGGTAAAAAAATTATTAATTTTGAAGATGAAGGACACAAAGTTTAACACAAAAAAAGGCAAGTATTTATTAATCTACTTCTTGCTTTGTTATTAGATATCATCAACTTGTTTCTGATGAACCAGGGTTATACAGCGAAAAAGCAACATATTGCAATGATGAAACAATTATTAAAAATGTAGATAGCAGACCAATTTTGCGATTTTGAAAGAGATCACAAGGAAATATTGACCTACAAATACAAAGTATATCCACTTAAAAATGAAAACAAAAGGTAAAATTTTGACTGTTAAAATGAAAATGTGGTTAATACTTACGTCTATATAGTAGTCCGGTAATGAGGTGAGATGACACTTAAATTACGTAGGGTGAGTAACGAACATTATAATTCTTAAGATACTAGGTCGATAATAAAGGATTACATTTTTTAAGAGAAAGTACAATTTTCCAGCTCGAAAAAGGGGACATTACTCCCTGAGAGGTAACAACCAACTGTAGACAGAAGAAAGTAAAAATTGTTTTGAAACGACAAGAGCTTCAAGGCAGGTAGTAGGTAGTTTTTAACAAACAATCAGATAGTATGCATTAAGGGTGCTATTTAGAATCACATTTATACTATTGTTTTAAATGATATATATCATAAAAATGTGTATTCGTAGTTAAAGAAAAAAGAATATGTATTATGGACAATTAAAAAGTTTAAGATAATTATTTGCCTTCAACTGATAACGTCATTCAATAAACTAAGTTAAAATAAGGATTCTATAAAAAAATAGATAATAATAGGTTGTATTTGGAGAAAATTCTGTTGATAGTATGAGGGTTTTGTAGATAGGACCGAAAAACTGGAGATTAGGATTGAATTCAAAGAGTGTTGATAGTTGCTTATGTGTGAGTATCGGTATAAGTTCAAATTCAAATATGTATGGAGAACCTATAGGGTTTTAATGGGAAAATGGTTTATGAATTGTGAGAGCGAAGAGGATGTAATATAATGACAAAAATGGGGGGGGGAGAAGCATATGCACCAGTACCAAGACTGTTGGTTAAAAAATTAAGTAGGTAATTTAGATTCAAACTCTGTTTAAAATGAATACAGTGGAGTGCAAAATGAACCGGACATTCAGATTTTTTTCAAAAATTGGCGTTTAAAAAAGTTTAAAATATTTTTAATTTAGTATTTAATAATGAACAAAATTTAAAAAGGGAAATTTATTAAAAATCAAAAATTTGCCAAAGATAAACGAATAAATATTCAAAAAATTTTAAAATCTGTAAAGAAACAAAAATTCATTTTCGTAATTTTCATTATTTTTTAATGAAAAACTATATTTGCGTGTATTACCTCCACGACCCTTAATAACGTCTCTCATTCGATCAAGCTTACTTTGGATTAAGAGAGCAAGTTCTTCTTAAGAAATTTGCTCCCATTCGTCAGAAATTGCTTGCTACAAGTCATTAATGATTTGAAACTGAACACGGTTACGTCGAATACGTCATCCCAGAAAATTCCATGCATGCTTTATTAGATTTAAGTCTGAACTTCTTTGGCGTCGTGGCAATTAAGAAATCCTAATTTCATTTAAGTAATCCCGTGTTATCCTTGCAATGTGCCGACGAGCATTTCTTGCATCAGATGAAAGTTTTCTTTAACAGTTGGAGCAAATGGCACTACATGATCTTTCAAACATTGTTTAATTTACCTTCCAGCGTTTTATTTGTCCCCTCGAATTGTAACAATTTCTGTATGTCTCTAGGAAAAAACTCTGGGAGTAAAACAACATTGTTGATAACCTTCGCAAGTTCTTCTCCAAATCCTAGGCCGCCTATCCGATGAGTATCTGTTAAAATCTTAATTTCATCTGAGAAGAGCATCGCACATAATTCTTCAATATCTCAATTATGATGTTCGCCCACGATATGTAAACGTTACATCCGATGTCATGCTGGTAATGGAACTTCCGTGACAGGTATTCTAAGCGCCTTAGAACGGTATAAATATAAACTGTGTTTCTATGAACATAATTTAATTGTTGGACAAGTACTGGTGCTGATAATGTGCTTACGGTGTTTCCGTCCAAAAAGCGATATTCAACTCGACTTATAGTTCTTCGTCTGGTGTATTGTTCTATTCCCGAAATCTTTGTATTGCATGAAACTGAACGTAAAGAAGTTCCTAAAGCCTTAACGATGTAAAAAATGCCCGGCCCACCATCCTGTAAAGCAATAGCTTGAGTTGCTTTTCCTGGTGTCATCATTTTTTTCTTGCAATTTTTGAAAAGGAGTACAAAAAAACTAATGCTAAACTTCCAAATCCTAACATAAACTTAAAATAATGCTGTTCAGTTTAAATTCTTTGTACAATAATACTAAAAAAGTTTTAATAGAACGATTGTTGTTCGGAAAAATTCTCTAAAAACAGGCTCAAATAAAAAAAAAGTTATCACTTATAAAGCCTAAATTCAAAAAAATTGAATGAGTTTTTGTTCAAAAGCAAAAAAATATACAAATTAAATCCCGATTAATATTTTAGCCCAGTGTATGTATGAACTAGTACGATTTATACCATTTTCCAATAAAACTTTTTATTTCATTATTAGTTTTTTCAACTATGACATACAGCTTACCACAGGAAATTTCCTTTTTAAATTTAAAAAAAGATTATCTAAAAGTATAAACGGAAAGACATAAGCAAAATAACAAAGTGTAGAAGAGTATTAAGTTTAAGACGAGAAAAGAAATATTCGTACAACGGGAAAATTAAAGAAAATAAAACATAAACAACTTTTAAAATAAAAAAGAACTTTAACATAATGCCAAAAAAATACTAGTAAAACAGAACCATTATATCAACTGTCCAACGAGGGAAATAATTTTTTGGTTCCATAGCAAAAAGAAGTCTAGTAGCAAAAAATTATCCCGCAGGAGAACTAATAGATAAATGTCATGAATATTAATATTTAAGATATGTAAATTCGATTAAATTTAAATAAAGTGACTAAAATAATTACTAAGATACAAAATATTTCAGCACAATAACAAAACAAACCAATTCTTACCGCTATTAAGCAAACGACAGCAATAATTAAAATATACGTCAATTTCATCTTGGTTTAGTTGATTTAGATGACGGAGAAACTTGTGTAAATATTTGAATAATAACCGCAAGTTATATATTCTGCATGACAATAATTAGTTATTAATTTTTGACTGTTTATATAAAATTTTAATAAGTTGTGTTTTAAAAAAAGTATCAACAAATATTAGTAGATTATCATTGTATCTTTTTAAATCCAGTTTTATCGGCTAGATGAAACGCTGGCCAGGGCCGCATTATATACTTCAATCATTTTAATGAGTTATAGGAAAATTAAATATGGATCCTAACATGATTATCTCATCTACCTTACTACCCGTATCTCAAATCATAGCTTAAACTCTAATCATATCTTAATGAACTCATCAGCAGCAGCAAATACCCAATTCCCATTTAAGTTCAACCAAAGCCAGGAAAAGACAGTAAATTTCAGCAAAATGATAGGCCAATAAGCTTACTACCTGCAATCAGTAAGATTGTAAAGAGAGTCACACTCAGCACACCTCAAGCAAAAACAGACAGACTAGATATAACACCATAAGCACAATTCGGTTTTAGATCAGAGCACTCCAGCAAGCTACAAGTACTTATATTAACAGAGTATATATTAGCTGGCTTTAAGGATAGATAATATAAAGAAGCTGCCTTTCTGGGACGTAGCAAAGTTTTTAACAGAGTCTGGTATAAAGGACTAATTTACAAAATAAGAGGATACGGATACACGGATAACGTAAGAAGGCTTGCAACCGAAGATAAGCTCATTGAATTACAGGAAGAACTTAACTGCATAAAATGGGATGTATTGGGACTTTCTGAAATACGAAAAAAAGGAAAAAACCAATTAGTTTTAAAATCAGGGCATCTGCTACATTTCATTGGAGAAAACGATAAGGCAGTTGGCGGCGTAGGCTTTCTCGTTCACAAGAAACATCTAGATAAAATTATAAAAATAGAGAGTGTAAGCTCAAAGTTGTGTACCAAATTGTGTAAAATTATCCAAGTATATGCACCCACGACGAGTCATAGTGGTAAAGAAATCAAAAACTTTTATAAAGATATAAATAGAGGTATAGAAAAAGATAAAACCCACCACCTAATCATAATAGACGATTTTAACGCTAAACTTGGATTTAAAGAAGATAACGCAGAAGTGGCTATGGGCTCATTTGGATACGGTGAGCGAAATTATGGGGGTGTGCTACTATATTTTTTGTTGCAATATCGGCTCTCTGTGATGAACACATTCTGCAAAAAGAACTAACAACGTAAGTGGACGTAGGCTAGACCAAATGGCATAACAAAAAACGAAATTGATTTTATCATCACAAACAGAAAAAATATTGTTTAAAAAATTGAAAAGATATTACAGTAATTAATAAAATCATTGTTGGGTGTGACCATCGGTTGGTTAGAGCAAAAATACCAAAAGTTCAAAATGTAGGCTCAGAAGACATCCCAGATATCACAACAGAGGAAATAAAATCAGCTCTCTCGGAGATGAAAAACAATAAATCACCTGAAGAAGATGGGATAGTCATTGAACAAATCAAAAAAGGAGGAGTGACGTTACTAAATGTGTTGAAAAATATGTTCAATGCTTGTTTGACAAGAGGCGTAACACCCTCCCAGTGGCATAATGCAATATTAATAATAATGCACAAAAAAGGTGACATTTCAGACCTATTAGTAGACCTTAAGAACTACAACTAAACTACGATTAGTTTGCTCGCCCATACATACAAACTATTTATGAAGATAATAACAAAACGGCTTGTGAACAAACTGGATAGTTACCAACCTTGTGAAGAGGCTGGGTTCCGCTCCAGATACGGAACAAATGATCATCTACAAGTGATAAAAATGCTAGTAGAAAAGTGTACAGAGTATAACAAGCCTATCTTTTTTATATTCGTAAATTATGAAAAGGTGTTCGATACTATAGATCACCATAAAATGCTGCGAGCATTGGCTGACTGTCGCATTGACTACCGATATATCGCCTTAATTAAAAGTATTTACGAAATTGGTACAGCTTGTGTCTGCCTTCATGAAGATACCAAGAAGTTTCGAATAGAACGTGGAATTAGACAGGGTGGTACTATTTCCTCTAAATTATTTACAGCTGTTCTTGAATATATGTTCAAGCAAATGGAACGAGAGCATAATATGGGAATTAATATAAATAAGGAAGATCTGAACCACCTAAGATTTGCCGATGACATCGTTTTAATATCTGATAGAGTTGATAAAGCTAGAAAAATGCTGCACACGCTCTATAAAGTGTCAAAAACAATTGGTCATAAAATTAACACCTCAAAGACAAAATTTATGACCAACCTTGTAGTCAGCGGTAAAATTCTGATTGAGAGTCATAGCGTCGACCAAGTAATAGCTTACAAATATCTAGGCCATGAGATTCACTTAGGCCGAGATAATCAGACAACTGAAATAAAAAGAAGGATAGGTCTCACATGGGCTGCAGTTTGTTTAAAAAGAAAGGTTTTTATTCAGTGTGTTTTACCGGTTCTTACATATGGTGCAGAAACACTGACTCTGACAAAAAGAACAATAGATAAAGTAAGAGTAAGAAAAGTAATGAGAATAAGATAAAATAAGAACACCACGCTATGGAAAGATCAATATTAAGTATTACCATCAGAGGTAAAGTACCAAACATAGAAATAAGAAGAAGAACAGGAGTCACAGATACAGTTTGAAAAAATAGCCATGGCTAAATGGGCTTGGGCCGGACATGTTCCCAGATTAACGGATGGAAAATGGACCAGAAAGATTCTGGAATGGTGACCAAGGCAAGATGCATATCGAAGCAGAGGACGACCACCGACTAGAGGGACGGATAATATAAGCGCATCATCACAAACTGGATGCAAGAAGCTCAAAATAGAAATAGGTGGAAAATTTTACGGGAGGCCTACGTTCAGCAGTGGGAAAATATAGGCTAATTGATGTATGCGGTCTGCTATTTAAAAAAAAAAACTCTTCAGCGTCATCAGGAGACAAAGATTTAGATTTAAAAATATTTAAAAATGTTGTACATAATAACATGTTCAAAATAGTACCATAGTATTCATTTAGTTCTTATTATTATGTACAACATTTTTAAATATTTTTATCTCTAAATCTTTGTCTCCTGATGAAGCTGACAAAAAATTAGCGAAATATAGAGAAATGAAAGGAAAAAGTTTTTTTTTTAATAACAGACTGCATACGCGTTACACCACTAGAATAAAAAATTTTATTTACGTTTCGGTCGATAATCCTACCAGATTTGCGATATATATATATATATATATATATATATATATATCTACATATATATATATATATATATATATATATATATATATATATATATATATATATATATATATATATCGTAGTTTTGAGTTTCTTTGAACCGTATTATATTTAATATAAAATTAATATTTCTTGGTTAGGTTCAATAAAGATATATTACATGTGGAACTAGATTTTATTTTCCATTGCAATTAATCAACGTTTCGGCAGGAAACCCTTGCCTTTGTCAAGATTCTAAAATGTGTATATATATAAGGACAAACAGATATTGTAAAATATGTATATATATATGACTTACCAAAACGTAAAACGTGACACAGACATTAAACGAACTGACATATAATAGTTGATATCTGATATCTCATTGTTTACTGTCATTAGTATATAATTATTTTTATATGGGCGTATCGTTGATGTTTTTGAAAAAGGTAAGGTGGAGATATATTATGACTTTAAGAGCTTTTTATGATGTTATATTGTTATTGTTTAAATCAGATTGAAATATATTTTATTTAGGTTTTGTGTATCTTTTTTGTCATTTATTGCGTTGGTGTTTCTTTTTATTTCTATTGATTCGTATATCTCCCTTTTCTTTTTGTTTTTTTCTGTTTTTAAAATTTTAATGTTTTCAAAGTCAAATTTATGCTTCTTTCCGCTTTCATGTTTTGTGAGCGCAGTGACGTTGTTCTTGTCGTATTTGTGAGAACGAATTCTGGATTGAAGCAGTTGACTGGTTTGACCGATATGGACACCTTCACAGTTTGTACATGGTATCTCGTAAACAACATGTGATTTTTTAAGTTTTGGAGTTTGTGTTTCAAGTTTTGTGAAGTATTTATTTAAGAGGTTGTTGCCTTTGTGGGCTACTGTTATATTATGCTTGGCTAAAAGATTTGTTAGTTGTTCGGATAAACCTTTTATATATGGAAGAGTTGTATAAGTGGTTTTGATACTGTTGGGTTTGTTGTTAGTTGTATTGTTATAAAATTTATTGAGTCTTGATTTGAAAATAGTTTCGATTAGATGTTCGGGATATGCATTCTTTAGAAGAGCATTTTTTGCTTTTTTTATTGCAGTTGGTCTGTATTCTGGATCTGTTAGTTTTATAGATTTATCAGCAAGACTTATAATTACAGACTTCTTATGGGAAAATGGATGATGGGAATTGTAGTTAAGATATCGTGAAGACCATGTTTCTTTAACGAAACGTTCCCGAACATCTAATCGAAACTATTTTCAAATCAAGACTCAATAAATTTTATAACAATACAACTAACAACAAACCCAACAGTATCAAAACCACTTATACAACTCTTCCATATATAAAAGGTTTATCCGAACAACTAACAAATCTTTTAGCCAAGCATAATATAACAGTAGCCCACAAAGGCAACAACCTCTTAAATAAATACTTCACAAAACTTGAAACACAAACTCCAAAACTTAAAAAATCACATGTTGTTTACGAGATACCATGTACAAACTGTGAAGGTGTCTATATCGGTCAAACCAGTCAACTGCTTCAATCCAGAATTCGTTCTCACAAATACGACAAGAACAACGTCACTGCGCTCACAAAACATGAAAGCGGAAAGAAGCATAAATTTGACTTTGAAAACATTAAAATTTTAAAAACAGAAAAAAAACAAAAAGAAAAGGGAGATATACGAATCAATAGAAATAAAAAGAAACACCAACGCAATAAATGACAAAAAAGATACACAAAACCTAAATAAAATATATTTCAATCTGATTTAAACAATAACAATATAACA